TGTGTGTGTGTGTGTGTGTGTGTGTGTGTGTGTGTGTGTGTGTGTGTGTGTTTGTGCGTGTGTGTGTGTGTTCTTCTGTTTTACTTCTTTATGCATGGTGTTGAGGGGCCTTTGTGGGTGGTTGGCAGTTGCTCAGGTGTGGTTTACTCCATCTTTCCTATTATATCTATCTTCCTCATCTCTCCTCCTGTTTTGTGTTTGTCACTCTCTTTTAACACTTCTAATCTTGTGCACTTATATGACCTAATTGTGTTGCAAGTGCAGTAAAACTCTTACTAAAACTTAATGCTGTAAAATGCTTAGTAAAACTAAATGAAACTGTTCTACTTTTATTAGGTTGGACCTGCCCGACAGGGTTGAAGCAGCACTTTCTGCCTCTTTAACAATCCCAAGTTTTTTTCAATTTAAACGTAAAACATTTACAGTTTTTAAAAAAAAGATCCTAATTTGCACCGGTCTGTTTCAGGTTCGTCGCAAAGTCCGTCCATGGTTTCAGACCAGTCCCACCAAGATCCAAGTGTACGATGTGATCACTTTCATCGCCACCCGCTTCACAAACTGTTATCTCTGCTTTCCATTCCTGGTGCTCGAGTTTTACTCCTGTTACTTTATGTACAAGTAAGTGTGTGGGTGGTTATCAGTTGCCCTGGTGCTGTTTGAGCCTTATTTCCTATTGGACATCTGTCATCTTTATCTCGCTTCTTTAAAAAAAAATGTTTGTTACTCTTTTGTAACCCCTCTAATCTTCGGCTCTTGTTTGACCTAATTATTTTGGAAATGCAGTAATACTCTTATTAAAAGTAAAAACTAAAAGTAAGTGCGTGTGCTTTGTTTCTCATGTACAAGTACATTTGGTAATGATTTTTCATATATATATGTACGTCTGTGCGTGGTCCTCTCCCATGTACTTGTGAGTACTTGTGTTCTTTTCTCATATAAAACAAAATGTTCCTTGGAGTTCCTTGTGAGTCTTTACTCATTTATGAGTCACAATGAACCTATCCTGCACTCATGTTCAAGAGACTGTACACAAGACCCATACCCAGGTTCAAGTGACTATATACTACTAGACCCGTGCTGGTGACTATAGACTAGTTGGATGCTCATACAGAGAACAACATGCACAGATGGCCTGAACAGCTTTACAACAACTCAGTAAAAAGTGAGTTAATCAGGAAGACCGACATCAGGAAGTAATAGGGGGGGATACTGTGGTCAATGTCTGCTCCAGAACTTTCAATTTAACAGAGAAAAAATTACCATTATTGTGATGATGATTTTCTTGTTTCTTAAGGGGGATAAAAAAAAATCCTTACTCTTGTTGTATGCATCACCTTACTCCACTCCTCAGGTCCCTGTATTTTTACCTCCACATTATGACGGCCATGGCCTACGTTCTCTTCACCTTCCTGCCTACGGCCAAGCAAGGCTCGGCTTCCGCTGCCTCCACCAGGCCTTCCTCTAGGTATGGATGAGTAGGTTCGGTGTTACGACAGTGATTTTTTTCTTCTTTTTCTGTGGGTTGTTGGCGGGTGCTCTGGTGTGGTTTGCTTCTTCTTTTCTATCAAACATCTATCCTCTTTATCTTAACCCTGCGTGTTTGCTGACAATCGTCTGAAATCCGACAATCGCGACGCGGGTGATGCTATCGCTAGGCCCACCTGTATTGGTCAGTGTGCGAAGTGCGAGGCCTGGCCAATCGTCAGCACCCCCTTTTCTCCGGTTGGCTTTATCTGCACTTCCGTTTTGGTGCCGACTGCCGACGTTGGCATTTCAGACATAATTGTCGGAACTTGAGTAGAAATATGAATATGAAAAAGGAAGGCGACGTAAATTAGACCTACTTTCAGTTTCGTGCTCGAGCTGCCATTTTGAGTTTCGTCTGTTGACCGATTGTTCGGATGTGAGTTCATTCAAGGCCTACTCACTTGTTCTACTGGATGTAGATTTATATAGATCACTATAGATCTAGGTCTCTATGGAGGATTCATATTCCAGTTCTATTGTGTCAAACACTATTATTGGTTGTGCTGTAATGTTAATATTTGCAAAAGTGCATTTCCTCAGGTGCGTAAATTATTAGACTCTGCTTCAGCTGAGTCCCTACCCTCTGTTTGGATGCGGATTTAGTTCAAGGCCTATTCCTATTCACTTGTTCTACTAGATCTAGATTTAGATTTATCTAAGATTACTATATGGAGGATTCCCATTCCAATTCTATATTGTTATTGTATCAAACTGTTTATAACAATGTAGGCCATTATGCTCCTTGTTTGTTTCAGGGTGTGTTTTTTAAAAACATTTCTGAAGGGCCATTGCAGGTTCTTTTTAGGGGGCTGATGCCAGCAGTTCCTCTACAAGTGCTGCTGTTCTATGACACGCTCAAAAGCTCTTATGTGGGAAATGGATTTTTTTTGGGGGGGGGGGTTGTGTGGTGTGTGCAAAATTCTCAGACAATCTGGTTCAGGCACACTTACAGGTCTATTATCTGCCCTTCTTCTTTTTTGTGTTTGTTACTCTCTTGTAACACCCCTAATCTTCTGTACTTATATGACCTTATTGTGTTGCAAGTGCTGCAAAACACTTAGTAGAACATAAAACTTCTTTTTCTTGTTGTTTTCCTCCTTCTTTTCATATGCCTTTCTACACTTGGAGCTGAGGTTCAACTATATAAATGCCATTATCTCTTGAATACTAAATTTTCACTTTTTATTGATAGAAGTAGTAGATACCGAGGAGTCTGTTTCTTTTACTGCTGATTACTTTGTGGAGAAGGGTTTTTTTTTTCTTTTTGAACATCTTCGTCTATCTGCTAGGATGTTGTTTCCCCCTCATGCTGGGTTGGCCTCGACAGACATGGTGGATGTAGTTTGCCTCCCACATTATCTAAATTGTGTTGATGGGGCCGTAAAAGGAAAAAAATTTCAATTTCCATTTTCTCCCTCCAGGTCTGGTGGTGCTGGCTCTCCCCCAGTTTCCAACGGCGTGTCCTCGGCTGAGCAAATTCCTGTGAACGATGGTCAGTCTGCTTCCCCATCCACTGCCCCGCCCACTGCCCCGCCCACTCCGGCCCCAGGCAGTGACCAGACCCCGGAGGCTGCACCCATCGTTGAACGAGAGAAAGTCGAGTGATCCCGAGAGAGGGAGCGAGGAGAGGGGGAGGTGTTGTCAGTCATCACTGCTTGTGTATTTGTGCATGTGTCTGGCATCCCCTGTCTCTTTGAGCGCCCCTTCTCTTGCCCCAGTCCCTTTTGTAACAATTTTTTATCATTTTAATTAACTGATTAGTTACTTCTGTTGCTAATAATATGGTCAGTGAGGAACTGTTGCAGGGCATAATTGTGTGTGCTGGGTGGAGGGTAGGGCTATAGTGTGGGGGGTTGCTGGTCCCAGTAATTTTGTACTTAGATGGGTATGTCTGTTTGTTCATGTAATGTGCTTGTGCGAGGAGTTAGTTCTTTGTGTGTATTAATAAATATAAAATTGACTGTTCAGTGTAAGACTGCATCATGTTTCACTTTTCCAAGTGGTCTATATTTTGTAGTATTACACTAAGCAGTTGATATGTGTATGTTAATGTGTGTATACATTGGTGTATGTGTATGTTCTTGTGTAATAGTGTTTGTATACTTATGTCTACTTGTAGGTTCGTGTGTGTGCATGTGTGTTGTGTATACATTGTTCTTGCTGTTATGTGTGTATGTGTTCATATGTTTATGTGTGTATGTGTGAGTTGTATGTATGGATAGTGCTGCTGACTTTTTTGTTGCTTGTTGTTCTGAGCGATCATGTTCATATGTATACATGAACAGTTTTGCGACATATCCATTTTTGTGGTTTTGAGAAAAATGAAGATTTGTGTTTTTCATCTATGTACTGAATATTCTTGAGCAACTTTGATTTTTAAATTGAACATGATGTAAGGCTTAGCTGATATTTGCTGTATGATTAAATCTATGTTGGATGGTTATCCTTTAAATTGGGGATATGTCCACACATTTTTGACAAAACGCTTGATATCCACATTACAATAATTAAGAAGGGAAAGAGCCGCCGCTGACAAAATCGTAAACACTTACAGTACCGAAGGCTCATATAATGAAAAACCCTCAAGTACCGCACCAGTTTAGAGTGCTGAAGGCGTGGTAGATTGTTTTAAGATAAAACAAAAAAATTAGCAGCACTAGAAACTGGCTTTAAAAATTCATAGAGGTTCATCAACCATTCCGCTATCAAATAGAATTACTTCCTTTGGCATTTAATTCAGTGCAGTGCGTCCATTTGTTGTTTATTTATAAATTACTTCCTTTGGCATTTAATTCAGTGCAGTGCGTCCATTTGTTGTTTATTTATGCCTGAGGTAGTGAGCGCATACTATGGTCTGGCGACTGACAGTACTGTAGGTGTTCAGACAGGCTAAGTCACGTGACTTGTGGGAAGCACTTGATTGGCGCACAGAGGATATGTCGTGGTTTTTCAAAAAAAACGTCAACCATTTTTGTAAAACAAACCCTTCACTTTCTGCAGCCCTTGAATCAGGAAAAATCTCATTTTTTGAAAAAAGAAGTTGACTCTGGAACGTGCCTCACTCTCTAGACAGGACAGTACTAGTTTTGGCCGAACTTTGAAAATGGCATTTGTCGCGTTTTTTCATCAAATTGTTCATGTGTTCATATGTATATATGTGTGTGTTTGGGTTGTGCTGCTGACTTTGTTATGCCGGGCTGTCGTAGGCACATTTTGATCTCACGGGTTCAAAGGCTGTGTTGTTTGTTGCTGTTTGTGGAAAGATGTCTGCCGGAGTTTGGTATGCCCTCCGCCCCAGCACACTTGCGTGATTTATTTGTTGAGATTTTTACGTGGAGAAGCCTGCCTGAGTACCGAATGCGAGAAATTTTTCTCTGTACTCCATGATCTGCTATTTAGTCTTGAGATATTTAGATATACACTCATATACTCACCATGTTTACACGTACACCTAAATATATGTGTCGTAGAAGTGTTGAGATAAGCTTACCCTAACTACTGGAATCTGTAGATGTGATGGCTGTGGACGTGGAATGAAGTTGAGGGATAGTCAAAATGTGTGTGAACCCTTACAACCTATTGTTAGTGAACAGATTGCATTAGGTACTGATATTATTTCCTGTCGGTTTTATTTGTCCTGTACAGTGGAGTTGATTTCGCTCTCTGACTGCTTATGGGTGGTTGGAGGATGTTGCTGGTAGGTCCTACTTCTTTCATCTCTCTTTGTTGTGTCTGTCTATCTGTCTTATTTTTTCCATCCAGCACATGAACTTTATTGTGTCAATATTATGCATTTTTTTACTCAAACAAAAAAAGAGTTGCTTCGTTGTGATAAAGATTTTGTTTTTGAGGTGTCTTTATTCTTTTTTATATCATGTTGCTTTCATGTCAAGTCCTGACCATCGCCCGAACATTTTCTCCATTATCTGTGGCCACTATGATTTGAGCATCCAAACAAAACAGGGATTGGTTGGAGAGTACTGCTTTAGGTCCTTCTTTTCTTTCCCTCTGTTCTGTCTGTCGATCTTACTTTTTACCTGCCCTAAAGTACTGGTATTGTGTCGATGTGCTTCTCTTTCCTCCCACACGTACACCTGCCCCTCGGGCGTTCGTTGTTATTGCTATCTGTGGCTGGTGTGACTGAACAAAAACATGTAACAAATTTGTTGATCTGTTCTCTCCTCTTCAGGGTTTTTTTCTGGTGACAGGTTTTTGTTTTTAAAAAAAAATTATATTTATTTATCTTTTTGTTTTGTAATGAAACCACAAATGATTGCTTCTTGAAAAGCAGCTACCTTTAGTTTTTCTGGGACCTTTATCTTTATTTATGCTTTTGTTTGAAGTGACAGATTCTCTGATTAAGCATTAGACAGATTTTGTGCATTTATGTATAAACGGGTATCTTTTTACTTGCACAGATATTTCTTCTGTTTCTTATTCATATGTTTATTGCTATTTGTTAAAAGAAGTGTTAGGCTCGGTAGAATATACGTAGAATGTAGAGCTGAAGGTTGCTCTGTGACCACAAATTGTGATTGTGATGTGACCTTTGATTTTTCTTTTTTTGTAGCAGGAGAGGCACTGGGGGCTCTCTCTAGATTTCCCAGTATCTTGAGATTGCGTGAAGAAGTTACTCTATCGAGCATCTCTCTTTCTTCTGGGATGTTGTATTAATAATAATAGTAATAATAGACAGCATTTGTATAGCGCAAATCCCCACTCAACAGCAAGCTCTATGCGCTTCACAATCTATTCTATTACCCCAGCAGACCTGAGAGCATTCTGAAACAACCTGAACTTCCTGGGAAGCATACTGTGCAAATAGCCTTTTATAGGCGCTAAAACACTAACATACTGACAAGATCTTTCACTGTCTATGGCCAGGTACCCATTACCACCTGGGTGAAGTGAGGAAAATTCATGCAAAATGCTTTTCCCAAGGACACAACGTCAGGCCCACTTTGTATTCCTCTTTGTGTGGGTTAGGTCTAACAAGATTTGAAGCATTCTGCCTCTAAAATGATTTGAGTTGAGTTCAAATGGGAGTAAAATTTATCCAATCAATTAAAAAAACAACAAAAAACCAGTGTCTTGAGGTGTCAAAAATCTCCCAACAAGATGCCATAGCCTGGTGTGTATCAGTTTTCCCACTTTCCTGCCCTCTCTACTTTTTTTCCCCAACTATCTCTCTAGATCCAGGTGGTTGGAGGATACCCTAGTAGTTCCTACTTCTTTTCTTTCCCTCTGTTGTGTCTGTCTGTCTGTCTGTCTTGCTTTTTCCCCCATAACACCGAACGATGATTACTGTGCCAATGTGGTTCTCTTTGCTCAAACTAACTCTCTTTCTCCCTCCTGCAATGTGAGCATCTCTGCGTGAGAGGGGGGAGTGATGAGAATGAACATTTCCAAAAACTCAATTGTTATTAAAAGGAAGGCTGGCTGAAAATACTTTTTATGTGTTTGTTGAAACGAAACAGGGTAAATTTTTTTGTGTCCGTTGTTTTAGATTAATATTTTTTTAAACAATCCTCAGCTTTATTTACCCCCCCCCCCTTTCCTCAGTTATTGTTTACAATAGACACTTTGCTACTGTCCTTAGGTTTTTTAATTTTCACCACACTTTGTTTACGAGCAACATTATATTTTTGTTACTATGTTTAGGTCTGTACATATAGTGCAGTGAATTCTGCAGTGAAGATCAAAATGGTGACCATCTGTACATAGAGGTGCCCATGGGTCCAGGGCAACAGCCAGACTTGTCTTTTTTTGTGAGATTGCTGGATGCATCAGGCTGATTTTTATGGTCTGTATAGGGTGCATATTTTGGGGGGGGGGAGAGAATTGATCTGAAGTGGGTATTCACCAACCTTTCTGTTTAAAATCCAACTGTTTCAGTGTGGATCTTCCCTCACAATTCTTTTTTCATGGGTTGTTGACAGGAGCTCTGGTCTTGTTTGCTCCTTCTTTCTTATTAAACATCTGTCGTCTTCTTCTGTCCTTCATTTCTTTGTATGTTACAGACTTCTAAATCTTTGGAACTGATAAGACCTACCTGTCTGTGTTGCAAGTGCAGTAAAACTTGTAACTAAAACTAAACAAACTATTTTCTCTTCTTGAAGTAAGAAACAGAACATTCGTTTGCTGAAGTGGTCTACTCATTGTTAAAAGTAGGGATTTTTGTAGTAACCTTTATTTTTCTTGGAACAGATTTTTGGAAGGTATCACCAGTAGGTCCTTCTTTACTTTATCTTGATCTCGGTTGTTTCAGTCTTATCAAGTACATTGCCTTTTTTAGACCTAAAATGGCAAGTATTTGTTTGAAGTGTTTCTCTCTTTTTCCTACTTTTATTGCAAACTCTTTGATTTTCAACGTTGTGTTCGCATGATTAGAAGTCGCTTCTAGTAGATTTTATTTCTTTCCTTTCCCTCTTTTATGTATTTGCAGTTAATACATTTCCTAAATTCCTCCATCGACCTAGTGAATTTTTCTCTAATCATTGCACACCCTCACATGGTGGTCATTGCAGTCATACCGGTCCATGGCTGTAGCTCTTGTCTGCAGATATTGCCATAATATTACTATTGTGTTGGCTTTTGACTCGCGTCTTCATGAGAACGTTGTGAACTGGAATTAACACTTTTGTACTGTTCATTTCAATTTCTTTTGTAATTTTAGACTGAGGGTGGAATTGAAGCACAACTTTAGCCCTGGTGTTATTTTTCTGGACTATAATAAATAATAATAATAATAGATAGCATTTGTATAGCGCATATCCCCGCTCAACAGCAGGCTCTATGCGCTTTACACTATATTATTATATGATGTTCATCACTCTGGTTTGAAACATGGATGCTGATCAGCTGGTGATATTTCATGGTTTTCAACTCATTGCTTTGTCTTGTCTGAGATGGAGGTCAATACTTGAGTTAAATTAATGACCTCCAGCATTGAAAAGGGATCAAAAGGTCATGGGATGTGGACTACAGTGGTCAGTGGTATTTGCAGGCATCGGTCAGCGGTAGTTTAGTTATATCCAACATCTTGTTTAATAGCTTTAAGGTTCCATTCATTCGTATGTTAGAGGAGTGTTTGACTCAGTTTTGGAGCTATCAGTTTTCTTTATTCCATCCCCACAAACCAGTGTCATCGCATACAGATGGATAGTGTGAATTTAATTCCCAATTGGCGAGGGAGTTATTTTGTCCAGTATTTCCATGCTGTCTTCAGGGTGGAAGCAGCCGACCTTCTAAATGATCTAAATTATGTTGATAGAAATATAATTTTAGAAAATTACAAATTGAGAAACAATATCTATCTTTGAAATAAAGAAATGGTGTTTGCTATAAATTTTTAACATATTTGAAACAAGTTAAGAAACAATATCTTTGAAATAAAGAGCTGGTGTTTGCTATAAATTTTTAACCTATTTGAAACAAATTAAGAAATAATATCTTTGACATAGAGAATTGGTGTTTGCCATAAATTTTTAATCTATTGGGAAAAAATGTTGGGAATATAATTTGTTGACTAGTTTCAACATGTGTTTAGTATTGTAGTTCTAGTCGTCACACATCTGTGAATTGTATGCCCCTTGTCATCATGTGTGATACCTTGAATTAACTGTCCCTCAGGTCACAAGTAAAGTGAATATTGCAAGCTCACATACCTCTCGGATTTTTTTTTCCTTTGTGAACATTTTTTCATCACAACTTTTTGTTTTGTTTTCCCTTATGGGTGTTGGAATGCATCACGCATTGTTTGATGTGTGTTGTTATGTTTTTTAAGTTCAAACTGAATACAGGGTGACCAAGGTGAAGAGGGGAAAAAAGTTTTAAAAGAGCCCTCCACAATCTGGTAGATCCTACTTCTTTATTCTTTCACCTTCTGTTCTTGTCTTGTCCTTCTTGCTTTTTTTCCTAAGTACTATTTGACAGTTGCAGGGCTGCCCATCATTACGAATCTGGCGGAATTGTTACGATGTTTATTCAATTTTATGAAAATACGGTCGTAATATCTCAGATTCAGATTTTTTAAAAAGATGTTGGCTACCCCAACCCACTGCCAGCCTTCCTGGTGTAAAAGGGGAGAAAAACCTTCAGACCCGGACAGTCTCTGTGTTAATGTCACGTGCGGTTGTCTTACTTCGCCCTTAGAAAAGCATGAGACTTTAGTAGAAGTGCTAAAGCCAGGATAGGAGTAAGCGAACATTAGGTAGGCTGACAAGTTCAAGGTGTGAGAAAATTCCTGTCCTTTTCTGTTGTGGGTTATGGCCCCGGCCAATGGGAGAATTCTAAAAAAAAAAAAATAGGATCATTGTTTGAAACTTGAAACAATCAGCTGCGGTGGGTGTGTGGTATGTGTTATAATACTCAATCAGGATCAAAGGCTTGTAAAGCATTCTGCTTTCTTTTGTGTTTGCAAGCAGTAACCCGCCCCCTTCCTGTTTTTTTTTTTCGCTATAAAAAAAAATCGACAACCACGAGCCAGCCAAGACCTCTATTTGCGCCACACCCTTGTTTACATTACATTTATAGTATTTATACTATACTGGACTAGAGCCCCTGTCCTTGACACCCCAAGAAAGAAAACTATCCACAGTCATATTACCAATTTTTAAGCCACATTACTCAATTTTAAATTGTTGAGTACTAAAGCATATATGCTGATGGATGGGCAGCCTGCCATTGATGTGTTAGTGTGCTTTTCTGAAACTCAAACTATTAAAGTGACTTTCCCTGTGTTGTGAACCACAGAAACACTGTTGTCATTTACATCTGTGGCAGTGCCGAGCATCTGTTTATCAAAAAATGTTTGTTTTTCTCCATGTTTTGAAGTGCAATGTCAGACTGCCATAAAACAAGGAACATACACAGGGCGTTACAGTTCCTTTTTCTGTTTCTCTGTTGAGATTTATTGCTATAATACAAGGAGTTCTGTTCTTTATTAGTTTATTTTATTGTTGAAACAACTGTTGCAATTGTTTTTAAAATATCTTTTATAACTTTGACAACATTTGTGTTTGTTACTGCTCCCTAAAGGATCTAAATATTGTGTTAGGGTATTAAGCATTTATGAGAATTATTTTTGTTAGTGTGGAGTGGACAAAGCAGAAGGTCTTGCCACAGTTTGTGTTAAAATCTACATATTCTAGTCTTCTTAGTTTATTTAGTTCTGCATTTCCCATGAATTTGTTTATCGTTTACATGATTTAATGAAAAGCAGGGTTTTTTAAGGCATTCCTTACGAGGTTGGATTTAATTTACATTCTAACCCTCAATTATTTCTGTATCTTGGTTTTTTTTCCCTCACGCCGAATGCCCATTATCGTGCCCATGTGCTTGTCCTTACTCAAACTACTGAAAAGAAATTGAAAAGGCGCTTTCAAGAGGAAACCAAAAATTGAATCCGATCTTACCATTGACTTGACTGTGATACTGATGATTCAACAGCATGCCTTGTGCTCATATGATTTATGACCTTTGGCGGTTGTAAGCGCCGTAAAACACTTACCTTACGAACAGCATACTTTGAAGCACCACTGGTAGGTAGGTAGGTAGGTAAGTAGGTAGGTAGGACCTACTTCATTTTTTTTCTTCTGTTGTTTCTCCTTGCAGTAGATGACCATCGTGTTGATGTAGCTCTCTGTTACAAACAAACAAATTATTCCCTACTTTGTCTATTTGTTCACCAACTGATGTGAAAAATAGAATCGTGTATGTTTCTTAGATGAGTTCATTTTTGCCAGAAAGAAATTTATACTCACAGGTGTGAATACGAGTGGTTAAAAATGTTGTTGACATGTAAAATCTTGAGAATATATGTCTTTCTTTTTGTTTTATTATGTTAATGGATGAACATAATTTTCATGTGGTTACTCTTACTTTCATCTGCACAGTCCTAGCATGTGTGTTATAAAATCATAATGCTTCTCTACACTGACCCTGTCTGAATGTACGCGTTTGTTTGAAAAAGATGTTGTCTGCAGACCGGCCGTAACTGTTTAGATATATTGTGGTTTTTGGAAAAAATATGATTTTTGAAAAAAGAGTGACTACATTTGAATTTGACCCTGCTTTAGAGGGTAAGTAATAACACATTACTTCGCATCACAAAATGAGCATCCACTATTTCCACCCCAGTAATAATAACAGCTGTGTTGAGTGTCTGTGTGTGTTGCATTAACAGATTTCCTTGTGACTGAGATGAGGGCGAGTGAGGGTGGCTCTGATGTTCTTCACACGTCTCTGCCCTCACTGTGAGTACCTTCTTTGCTGAAGAGTAGTGTGTTTGTTGCACAACTCATGTCTATTTTAATGAAGTATAAGTAAACTGGTGTGTATAATCTCATCTTGCCTTTGTTGTTGTTTTCTTCATTTTTGGGTGTTGTTTTTTATTTGTTTATTGGGGGGGGGGGGGATTTTCGGACGGGTTGATGCATCATGGATTACAGGTACAATGGTTTGTATCCTCAATGGGATATTTATCTACTTCGTTTTTTTTCTGGAGGGTTTTCATTGCCCTCCGAACACTTTGTCCTATCAGAGATGCACTTTGCTTACTTATATTATATCTATCTATCTATCTATCTATCTATCTATCTATATATCTATATATATATATATATATATATATATATATATATAAATATATATATATATATATATATATACAGTGGAAACCTGATATAACAGGGATGATGGGAGTAGAGAAAAAGTCCTGTTATATCTGATCCCTGTAAAATAAAATCAGAAATGCAAGGAAAATAAGCATTTGTGGACTAATCCAGCTGTACCTATTCATGGGTAGTTTCCCTTGCCACAAGTACCCATGAACAGGGGTTTTGGCACCAACTTTCTCCTTGCCTCCTATAACCACATCAGAAGAGCTTGGTCCACCCACAGCATCTGCATCGGGTAGTCTCATCTTCTTTCGATCCTGAGCATACTTTCCATTTGAGTATGCTGCCACTGTCTTCTCTCTATCCTTGATAATGGTGTGTATCGACACACACTGACGACAAATCTGTGCCAGTGGAGCTTGCTTTTTGTCAACAGCATGGATTATTTAGTATATTTTGTCCATTGAAAGGCATTTTCTCTAGCACCTGACATCGTTGGTGGCCATAATGAAAGAAGTAGGCTTAGATCTAGGCCGACCGGTCGTCCAAAGAGAGCGTTAAGCTAGATCTTCACATGTGCTGTTGTTATTGTTAGTGAACAGTCACAGTGTGGTGTGGTGCATGTGTGTGTGCCTGCGGCAGGCCTGCGCATGACACATTACGCGTGCGTGTTGCTAGGTTTCTGGCTAGATCGAGGTCTGCTGCACACCGCCCGCAGCCCTCTCTAGCTTCACACGCTGTGTGTGCTTGCACTTGCAGTGGCATGGCTTTCATGGGCTTCTCCCATCACTGCATTACTCTCTCTCTCTTACTTTTTACACATTGTTATCGAGCCTTTGTCCCTGCTATAACCGGTTGGGCTCCGATGATGCCCTGTTATTGCCGATAATTTTTAATAGAGACAAAGAGTAGGAAAAAAACGGGGATTTAAAAATCCCTGTTATTACCGGATCCCTGTTATTACCGGGCCTGTTATATATGGTTTCCAAAGTATAATATATAGTCTTTATGGCCCCTAACCTCTACCCGCTGAACTTCTAAAGAACTTACTTTGTGAAGTCGGGCATTCAATGTATAACCTGTACATAGTACATGCCCAATTTTGTTGATTTTGTTTGAAATTATCAATGTGTTCTTCAATATACCAGAGGTGCCAACATGCCTTGAAAGTGCTCACATGGGGATTCAAAATATACAGATCATATCGTCTACTATATTTTGACTTGTATCTAGACTATTTTCTCTATAATTGGCTTGAAGTCGGACAGAAACCAAACAATTTCATAATCCTGATTTCCGAATCTATCTGGAAAATTGGCAGCTCCGAGCATACCGTACCTTTGATTTTGATGAAGTACAGCTGATCTCACTGAGCTCTAACCATAAAGTCTCCAATTACGTTGCAGGGGGGGTGTAAAACATTTGCAATCTTTTACATGATTATTTCTCTGTGTCTGCATTTGAGGGGGTGAGATGCAAAACCCACTAAGCGACATTCTGGAAAAAAAATCGAGATTTTTAAACTTATAAATGCACATTGTTACCCGCTATCAGATACACAAAGTGTTTTCGGACAAAACCCAACACATACTTCATAAAAGCCACCAAAAAATCTTCTTTTAACGCATGGCATATAGCAGCATTAAAAAAAGCTGATTTTTTCAAAAGTGCTAAAATAAATGTTGCGGGTTTTGCATCTCAGCCCCTCATTTGTATCGAAAATAATTAATTTAGTGTTGCAAAGGCCATAAGACTCCAACAAAAGCTAAATATTTCTCTCTGTTGGCTCACAAACCTTACACAAATAAACATTCATGTCATATAAGAAACACATAAAAGGGAAAGCTTGTGGATGTGAACTGATTTTTAATTACAACGAAGTGAAAAGTAGGTGTCAGTGATTTATAAAAAAATCTTTAAAAATATATATTTTATATACAAAATGGTTCACTCTCCCCTTCTTTCCCTTGTTGAGCTGATGAATCAATGATATAAATGAAAATATGTTTAACCTTTTGAGCGCTGACCTCCTGAGGTTACCGTGCCCCTCTGCCAGAGCTCCTGACATTCATATGATCATCAGAATCACATTCCATATCCCCCTCAGGGTGGTCCTTGTCAATACCAGCATCTAATTCAGAACGATCTTCAAAATTGTCAATGTCTTGTGTAGTAAACACTGTTTTTTGTACGTATTTTTTTCTCAGGCAGGCCTGGTTGGGGATGGGGGTCTTGCTCACCGATGCACCGGTGGCTAGGCATATGGTAAGTTTTACGGGTGTACCGGTGGCAAAGGCTCAAAGGGTTAAGTGATAAAAACCAACAGAAATAACTCAACTGCCTCTACTTTGAGGTACCAAATAGTGTCATGTCGACATTAAGTGACTCATAAACATACTTTTTTTCCACTCATAACGTCTCCAATCTGGAGACCATCGAGGGTTGTGTGATTGATCCCGGTCCAATTCTAGTGAGATTCGATTGAGACCATCAGGACGACGGGCTGGGACTGAGGTTGTTAACAACATGGCAAGCTTCCTGTGGTCTTCACTAGGGCTAGGCAGGTACCCCATATCACAATACTCCCCATATTGGTACAGGACCTGTGCGTGTACTCCTGGTACTACCATAGACGGTCTCATTTCTGGCACTAGGCCTTAGATATCGATACTGGGAAGGTACTAGTACCAAGCGTTCCTTTACTGGCACTAGGAAGGTGCCAACACCAAGCGTTAAGTAGTGGCGGTATTCAAGGTCCTGTGTCAGTAAAGTACTGCGGGTAATCAATGTTGCTGATACCACCCAGCACTAGTCTAGTCTGCACAGCCAGTCTCACAAATACACACAACAAAATTTGTGCTATGTTACTCAACCAATCACACATAATTATAAACAAAATACATGTACACACTACCAATTTCAAGTTTGTCTGTGTCTTCTTAGCCTATGTACACCCCTTAACCTGATAAAACTCAAAAGCCACCACACTGACTGACATCTTCTCCAGAAACAGGTACACATGACAAACTTTACCAGTTGCACAACTACCCTTTTGTCCATAACACTTGTTTACAAGACGAAACCTGTATATCCATATACTGGCATCTTAGCTAGAAATACAAGCACACAGAATAAACACTCAAAGGCCAGTACAATTGCATCTTCTTAGCCACTGACACATTGTTTACACAATACGAAACTAAGGACATTCATGCACTGATATCCTAGCTAACAAAAATATACATGTACACACAATAAACACTCTTGAGTCTGAGATCTGTACATGTACATCTTAGCTGGTGCGGTTTGTGATCAGTCCTTTAGCATCTTCAAGAAGGTCTTCCACTCGTTTTCTCTGTGGAGAAAAAAATTGGATAATCAACGTTAAGGAATAGCAAGCCACTTTTGTAATACAAAGATGTGTAGAGAGGATATTTACATTTTTGCCATTCAGTATGTGTAACAAAAAGAAAAGGTAAGAGGGCAGTGTGAATTACTAGTAATAATATAGACTGGTGAAACATCCAAGGGGTTAATTTTTAATAAAAGGTAAGAACCTTAATACATCTTCATCACGCAATGCTAGCATTTGGCCTACCTCGGTTATCATGGTACTTTATATTGTTTCTCTCAGTTCACAAGGTCAAAAATAGGTATTTGGCAATCGATTGGTACAGATGGAATGTGTAAATTTCAGTTGCAGAGATGGAACATATAAATTGCAGCAAGATGCACCTAACAGGCTGCAACTACAATACTGTTTATACATTGTCCTACAGGAGAAAAAAGAGGTATTTGGAATAAACTGGCCCACCCAAAAAATTATTGTGAAGTCATATGAGCCCTCAGGATGATACACGGCTATAACTAAGCACTTTAACTAACAACATAAACAAGAAATTTGAAACTCACATCAAATTTGTCTAGATTGTCTCCCTTGTCTTTCATCTCGAAGTAGGGTGGGACTAGGGCTTGAAGCCTCACAGCCTTCAGGGCTACAGGCTGACATGCTATCAGGTGAGAGATCTCTTGGGCCTGGGGAGAAGTAGGTGGAAATCTTTGAGTTGTTGCTTTTTAGATTTTTGATTGTACGGTCAACTTCATACCACCACCCTTTGGACAAGCATGAAGTTGGCGAAATAGCAGGGATGGCAATTTATTGAGGTTCCCCTAACTGCCCAACATCGAGGGAAATGATTACTCTGTCTGTTTTGAGTTTGAAAAGTGTCTTTTCATAGTTGATTTACATAACATATACATGAATTTTCAAAGCTGTCTTCTCTCTCTATTGGATATATTAATTGCTTCAAGTTTAGCCAGGAGCACTTGATCTTAGTACAGTTGTGAACTGTAACTTAGGAAGTCATTGGTCAGCTTGTGAGGACTAAGTTTATTCGAATCATCATCATCCGGTGCTTTGCCAACTGGCGTGGGAAATCCTGGACCGCCACTCCACTCTGTCTTGTGTTGCAGCAATGGTGTCTGTCATTCTTGCTGTTCCCAGCTATGTTGTCAACCTGTCCTGTATCTTTTCCCTCTGCCTGCCTCTGCCTCTCCTTCCCATCAAACTTGCCTGTTGTTACAATATTCTCCAGTTCTTATTTCCGCATTGTGCTTCCAATGAACTTTGTCGCTTTTGTATATTGTTCATAAGCTGTCGTCTACAATTTGCTTCAACCAAGACATCTTCATCTGTTTTTCTAGCTGCCCATGGGATACGCAGCATGTGTCTTATAAACCTCACCTCAATTGTCCTTTCCAGTTGTTTATTGATTGTCCATGCTTCGCACCCGTATAATAGGATTGGCTCAATGCAACTTTTCGGTACTCTTTTTCTTGTTTCCAGTGACAGATTGACATTTATAAGTATCTGTTTCATTTTGTGGAAGGTTGCTTTTGATTGACAAATGCGACATCTCCCATCTGATGATATAATGGTCTTCAAATATTTAAAATGTTGTACTTGCCTGAGGGTGGTACCATCGATTTTGATATTGTAGGTTGGGGTTGGAGTTTTCCTGCTTATCACCATTGTTTCAGTTTTCTTGATGTTCAGGCTTAGGCCCATGTTGTCACTCTCTTGTACGATGACGTTTAATAGATCCAGTAGGTGTTCTTTATCTTCTGTAAATTCGCTGATGTTGTTTTCTATTCTTATTGCAGTGGTTTGATCTCAGTACATATTTTCGATAATCCTTAAGTCCTTTATTCAAATAGAGAACTGAAAAAAGCAGGTCAACTGCTTGAGGTTAGTTCCTCTATTTTACTCTAAAACAAAACGCAATGTAGCTTGATGGGTTTTACTTTTTATTCTTCAGCCCATCCATGAATTTTGCATACAATTTTTAAACATCAAGTTTTTAAAATTGATTTGTTCCAAAGACTAAAATCAAAACAGGAAAAAAAAGGAACAAACTACGTACAAAATTTGAGTAATGCTTTCTTTAAAAAAATCACAACACAGCAAAAGCATATGTGAGGCGAGCTGACAAAATGAGTTACTTCTCACAACCCACAAACAGAGATATTGGCTAAAAATCGACGCTACATTGAAATTTATAGATTTTCTAATGATGACATATGCATAAAGTACAAAATGCCTTTTATTTGTTCATACTTATAAATTATAAAAACTTCCCCTATAGGCGTGACGTATCTATTTCCATAAGGATAACATCCAAGAAGTAACTCATTTTGTCAGCACACTTCACATATGAGGTATTTGGCAGATCCAAATGTATGTTGTAGATTCATTAGGAAATTTGTCATTTGTGGAGCATTTAGTAGTAAAATGTTAAAGTAGGAAACTTAGGATCCCATCGGTAGTTTTTCCATTATGTAAAATTTCTTTTACCATTTATAAAATGGGAATTTGTGCTAAATGGTACAAAACCCCTCACATGTTCCTCCAAACATTTTTACCCCACAAGAGTGAAACTGAGCACCTGCAGGTCAAGCTTCGTACATAATTCTTACCCTATTGGCCTGGTATCGCAGACGCATAATCCTCAGTCGATTCCGTGCCTCAGCAGCTCTGAAGAAAAATAGCGATTGTCATTTGAGTATTTATCCTATCTCATTTCATCTAAGCAAATATTGAATCAGCAGTAGTGACAGGAAGCCTACTGTTTTTTTGCTATAATTTCCTCGCAAATATCTCCACTTCTATAGCCAATAAGATTGATGGGTATTTTTTCTCATCAAAAGCGAAATAGATGATGAGCATTTAGATGATAGCAATGATTCCATTATATGCCCAAAAATTGACGAGCGTCTGATTCCATCATGTTGCGACACAAACGACATACAAAATCAAATAGTGAAGCAAGAAGAAATTTTTTTTAAACTTTAAGACAGAATTTAGGAGGAGCAACCAGAGATATAAGATCTTACATTAGAAGGCAAAAAACAATGAGTTATGATATAAAGAATAAAAAGATTTGGGCTTGGGTAACATTTAATGATTTTTGTAAGATTACAGTAAAGCTTCTCTAACAGCTTTTTAACTTTAAGGCTTTTCTTTTTTTTTTTTTGGTCCAGTGTCCTGATTTATTTTCGTTACGATACTTGTAGGTTACATAAAAGTGCGTTGACATGGTGCAAATTGTTATGTTTCAAGAAAAACAAAACAACAAAAAGGGGAATTATTTAGTCAGTGATGATGATGATGGTGATGATGAGAATGATGATGATGGTGACAATGATGATGTTCTAATGTTGGAAATGATGTGCATGTTAATATTAGTGTTAAGTGTATTCTATTTTTTGTTTGGTGCTTACTCTAGATCCCCCCAGGCTGTCCTGGGGGGCAAGACATAACCCTCATTCCCATCTTCTCACATAGAGTGACCAGAAATGAAGAAATAAGTCGTCATCTTCATCCCAAAAAATCACATGGGTGCCACCTCTAAGTGATGACATTGTTTGTGTGTTGAGTTGTTGCCCTATGTCTATGATTGCTATCATATTTCCAAAACAGTGAAAAGAGTATGGCCATAATAACCTTTGTAATATTTTTTCAAAGTTTTGTGAACTTATTCTCATAGTAATACAGCTTGGAAGCTGAATTTTCTCATATTTTCACTCACTTAGAATACCAGTATTATATAAGCTATGTTATCCATCTTTCACAATAATGTTGTCTTTTGGCAACTCTACAACAGCCCCAATTTTTTTTTTACCATTCATAAAGCAATGTGAAAAACGTTATTATGTTCTAATTAGCAAATAAGATGGCACAATACTAGAATCATTCTCCGGTTAAATCATTATAGCAGAGACAGTTCACAATGACAAGAGATGAACACTCTTACTACATTACTTACAACAGACATGATAGCATTAAGCTGTACTCACTTTAATTGTCCAATTAACTTGGCATGCTTGTCCCTCTCTTCTTCTTCCTCGTTCGACAATGGAACAAATTGTCTGAGAAAAGAGAACGATTTTTAAAAATATGAAATTGGGGCATGATATATATGAGAAAGTAGCTTTGAAATCTGTCAAAAGATATTGGCTTGTCAAAGGGTTGGTCAAAAGGGGAGAACTAGCCTTCTCTGTTCAGGCCCAGATTCCCGGACATTTGGCTCCGGCATTGAGGGCCGGGGTGGACGACCTTTTCTTGATAAGCTCGCCTTGAGACTGGTTCTTATCTTATCGATGTTTGGGATCAATGTGAAAAGCGGCGATTTAAAGCAAAAAGCGGCGATAGGCAGATGTTCTAATATTAATACGTATAGAGGTGATGGAACATTTTTGCAATACGCTTTTGCATGCCGATAGTGTAATAGTAAGGTGTGTAGTGTGTAGCCGTCTAGTCTGTCTGACCTCCTAGTCTCTTCATTGTTTCATTCAGTGCTCTTGGATGTGCACATTTTTTTCGTTTGGATGTATTTTCACTACACTCAATTCTAAGGATTAAATTTGTGCTTATATTATGTGTTTTAGTGTTCAGCCCAGATTCTAGTTTTCTTTCATCTTAAATGTTATATTGTTACTAATGCTACTGTGAAAAAGTTTTCAGCTGACGTCTCAGTTTCAGCGCAATAAACCGTGTGAGCAACATTTGAACATGGGAAGAAAGTGTAGGGGATGGGGCAGTAGAAGTGGTTATGCCAGCCAAAAGGGAGATAGCAAAACAACAATAATATAGGTTTCCTAAAGATTATGAAAAAAAGTACAGTGGATCAAAAGTGTTTCAAATAAATTAATCGTAGAAGAAGTCACAGATTATATATAATATATATATATAAGGGAGTTTGCTCTCTACACCTCCCCCTGATGTACCTTTGGCACAGGCTGGAAGATTTATGGTGCCCACAGAGCCTCCATCAATATTTCCAGAAGTACCACCATCATGTTGTGGCACACCAGCTCCAAAAAAGAGAGCAACTACAAAAAGTTCAGCTTCTTCTAGAGCTGCTGATATTGATGAAAGAGATGTCTTCAAGTTCGATTCATTCTATGAAACAATGGATATGACGCTGACAGCCTTCGGCAAAGATGCAAAGAGTAAAAATTATTATAATACATTTTTGTCTTGCTCAGCAGAACTCGAGATGGCCCTGTTTTTGCATTTTCCATGTATTTTACTGTTGTTTACCACACCCATGACCATGTGAAAGAGATTTCATTTAAAGCTTCACAAATTGAAGCACATCAGGCATCCAGGCTTCACTAGAGATGTTGTCACGTGCTTGAGTCAGTTAGCCTAGATGAAATTTTGCACTTTGTGTGTACCTGAAAGACATTGTTGGCCTACACTACTACTACTACTTGTTGGGTTGAGTTTTAAAAAAAATGTTTTTTAAAGGAAACCACTGAAAAACTGGGCAGAAATTGATTAGTGGCGATTTTGAGGGACTTTCCAGTGATATTCCATCTTGATATATATTGTTATCGTAAGCTGATGCGGCAGGCAAATATTTTCATGAAAAGTTTAGTGGAGCAAATGAAGGACAGGCGAAGAAAAAAATAGCAAAGTACCTTTTTTTCCGAGGTAATAGATTGTGTTCAGTTACATGCTTAGTATATATATACGTAAGTGTGTGTGTGTGAGTGTGTGTGTGTGTGTGTGTGTGTGTGTGTGTGTGTGTGTGTGTGTGCGCGTGTCAAATTAATTTTCTTTCATATTTGTTGAAACATGTAGAATGAGAACGATGTTGCAAGTGAAGAACAAAAGTTACCCCACTAGTGTGCCACGGTCTTCTTTTGCGGTAAAATGCAAACGTAATTCATTTTCATGTTGACCAATTGATACACTCTGTCACCGGTGTGATCTTCCTTTCTTGTAAGAGCCGATAAACTCTCACAAAAAAGCAGCAACAACAAAAATACATTGAATTTAAGTAAGGTTCGTTGTAGGCCAGTCTAGTGAGTACAGTGCGAGAATGCTCCATCACCCGCACCAGCACACTAGTCTATCGCCGCTTTTCACACTGACCCTCCGCGAACGTGTTCGGCCTCCAATGCTGAGGCCAGTCGTGCGGGATGTGAGGCCTGAAACTGAGAAAGCCTAGGGAGAAGGTCAAACTAAATGGCTGTTTTTACAGCAATTCATTAGTTTTTTTTCAAAATGGCAACATTAGCCGTACGGATAGCTCAGTGGTTGGTTAAGGAAGAATTTAAAAAAAAAAAATTAGATAATTTCTATTTCACTCCCCCCCCCCAATATTTGTAGTATGAAAATGTCAAGAACAATGTTAAAGAAAACTTACTTTTCATATTGCTTCTTTTGGTCAATAAGCCTCTTCATTGAGGCCTGGCGCGCATCAGTCACTTCTTTAGATGGCTCCTCATACTGAAATAAAGTTGAATAGGAGATGAAACAAAGGGTACTGTTCACAAAAATCAAGTAAACCGAGAGAACAACTAAAAATTAGCCAATCTGTGATAAAGAAAAACAGTACAAGCGCATTTATTATTTTTTCATAAAAAATAAATATTCAATGATACAAGCTTTCACCATATCCCAGATAAGATATAATAAGATGTAATATATATAATATATACGATTATATGATAGCGAGATAAACAGCAAATTGCAATAGAAAGACCAATTGTTCACTTGGAAAATGTGAAAGAAACTGAAGTTTTCACATAAGAATAAGAAATAGGCAGAAAAGAAACCTTATGCTCTTCCCCTTACATACCTTACAGGGCCATGAGAAAATGATTTATATGGAACAATATTTCAAATCAGACAGATGTTATTGACTTACCGCTAAGTATCTGCTCCTTTGCTGAGGAGCAAGTTTTTTCAGTTCTGCTGGCGAAATTTTCTTTCTGTTCGTAAACCGCAAGCCCTCTTCATCCCCATTTTTGACGGGGGGAAGTTTTTTCTGTGATTTACAAGGAGAAGTTATACATCACACAGGCATCTAAGAATCTTTTTAAAAAAAAAAAATATATATAAAAAAGGCAGTTCAACACATAAAAGAACTTCAATTTTTTCTTTAGTTGACAAACAGACTGTGATGTGGAACTCTTCCCTCCAACACAAGGAGTAGTAATACTAAACTACATGGGGACTCTCAGGGTCTAGAGGTGTTTGGTTCAACTTTCATCCAACAGCTCCCAGGTTCGAATCCTGACAAAGATGAAAACATTTTCTACTCTGAAATTTTCTCCTTTCTTCTCCTTTAATCCTGATCTCCAGTCACCTGCTTTCATCCCAACATTCTTAAAAGAATGTGGCTGCCTGATGGCAAGGCCGAGTCCCATAGGAGGTCGGAAAAACAGTCATATACGAAAATATCAGTTGCACTGCAGGTTGAAGAACCAGCAGTTGACTACCCCTGAGATCTAGTGGGAAGCACAAAGAAGAACATTTAAGATACCAAACCATATGCACCATATCATGACTGCAACACCTTCTCAATACGAAAGCTAGCGATGCACTCCAATCATATCTCTCATTCGTTGTCTTATCTATAAGGTGGTATGTTAATTGTCACAGAGTGACGCTGTGACAACTAACGTGGTGATAATAGCGACAGAACAAACACGGAGCTCATTGCATTGATGATTAATAAACATCATCTACTATCTATAATATTAGTCTACCTTTTCCGCTTCGCTTCCCAGCGTCCTGGTTATCTAGTCTCCGCCTGACAAAATGGATCCGAAGGCTTTCTAGAGCAGGCATTCGAATCTTACGATGAATTTGAATTTGCGAAATTTAAAGATGAAAATTTTGTTGCCTTTAGGAAAAAAATCATCTGAAACAGTTAAGAAGGCAAACTTAAAGAGTGTTGCATAAATCCACAAAGACTTTCTGTACAGTAGAGTTGACTTTGTCTGTACACATTATGGACAGCCCAAATATCGAGGCAACAAAAATATTACAACAAAACATCAGCAGTACAGAGCTCCTCTTGGGGACAAAATGAGAATGTGCATGCTTCATCACTACATGAAAAAACCCCCCAAAGCAACAAGATATAATTATGGGAACAATTTGTTGGTCAGTCGAGAAGAGGACAACAACAACAAAAAAAACCCCCCAGAAAAAGAAAAAAAAACCAACCTCCAGGACCAGGATCAAACCCACGCTAAAAAAATAATGGTTTGACTTCAAGCGCAGACGCGCTGTCACTTCAGCCATCAGAACTTCCAATTATAACGAAGTGCAGATTAAGCTTAATATTTTACACACGGTGACACGGCGTTTTATTTAGCACTGGCACTAATCGCAACGCGGCGTTGCAAATAGGCACTTCCTATTAAAATGGTGAGAATACCGCCAGGTGTTGTGTGTGTGTGTGTGTGTGTGTGTGTGTGTGTGTGTGTGTGTGTGTGTGTGTGTGTGTGTGTGTGTGTGTGTGTGTGTGTGTGTGTGTGTGTGTGTGTGAGTTTGTTTTTCTTTTTTCTTTATAAATTCTTTTTTTGTCCCAGCGTCACTCTGTCACAATTAACATTACCATATATATTATACTAGCAGGGCCCCCTTTCTATGAAAGGAATGATCGGTGCATTAATATTAACTAAAAGTCCTTGGCCTACTGTATTAATTTACACTCTACTGGAATGGAGCAATAAAAAAGCGATGGTGGGCATAAAAACGAAAGGAAACAGTCGAATTTAGCACCAAGTAAAAAAAAGAAAACATGAGGCTTTATCTATACGGGTCGCATACTTAAAATAGTCCTCAGTATTGCGCGACAATGTGCGATAGTATCGAACTGAAGTACGACTTGAAATAAACAAACCTTGCGGATTTTCTAAAATTACAGAGACAGAAGCGTCAGCCTACAAAAGTGATTGGCGAAATAAAGAAATTTAGCTGTTTGCAGCAAAACTGTCTCAAAACGGAAAAAACGAAGGGCGTCATGATCTGGAGAATATTTCAAAGAATCTTTTGGCGAAAACCGAATGTCGATCGATTCCGCCATTAAAAAGCCTTTTGAATAGCAAAATTTTGCCACCACAAATAGATAATAGATTACTATAATATAGCTTCTAGATCTAGATCAAGAGGCCTACTAATTTAACAAGGGCTATTATTATTTAAATGTTGGACGATGTTGTAGTTCGTTAAAGTCCAAAGCTGAACGACAGGACCCTGAATTGCCAGGTAAGAAAATAATCGATGAGGAGAAAATCAAAATTCAAACAAAGGTGGCCCTTTTTTGGCAGTTCCCACCCTCAATTATTATTCTCCGGTTTGGGCCCCAAGAGTCAAGAGAAGGGGAGTTTCAAGGGGGTAGGCCCCCCTCACCTAATTTTGTGAGATTCTCAGGGGTGCAGGGGGGTTCATGATGCCGATGCCCCCCTGACTTTTACCATAATTTGATGTTTTGCAGCTTAGGTTGCATCAGTTGCATCCCTGTTCTTTGTGTTGCCTATTTGGTCATCAAGACTTCCAGATTTCTTCTCTGGGTGTAAACAAATGGGCGGTGGACGTTAACGAACAGAACTACAATACAATATTACCAAATTGTGATTTTAAAAGAAAAATACAAAATGCTCTTCAAACGGCTCATCAACCAAAATATTTTACAATGCTAAACTGCAGAGAGTTATAACCCCGGCAGGCATATAAACAAAAGAATTAAAGCTCTGAAACTCACATTGCTCATTTTAAAGAAACTGGCAGTGATTGTTGTTTCCTCGACGAACTAACCTGCCATCTTTTTCTTACGTCTTCCGGTCGCCCAGCAACCAGTAAACTAGGTCTTTGATTTCCGGAAGTTACACTTTTACTGTTATAGTACCGATTAATTATGGTCCTATAAATTGCTGTTTTATGTTAATATACATGTAGATCTAATAATTTATGTTTTACTGATAGACCTCCAAAATTGTTCTATCCTAGAATAAGTGCGAGGTAAAAAGTAGTTATTTTCTTTTTCTATACGATTCTTCAATCCTGTGGTTAACATGTAATATGCGTAGATCTGTTTTGATCATTTTACTTCAGCCGGCGGCGCTTTCCCCACTTTTGGAAAAAAGAAAAAAAAATTGGAAACGTAAGTTCAACAGACCAGAAGCAGATCGTGTTATGACAGAGACACAAATGGTCTGAAAGGAGTTGTACATCCCTTCAACCCCCCCCCAGTGTCACAGAAAAAAGAAAGGAAACGGTATTATTTTTTTACCATGCTTTTCAAATAGCATACCGATCTATCGTTGGTAATTACGTCTATAGGTCTATACACTTGATTCCCCCCCCCCCCTTCCCCGTTACTTTTGGGCATTTTCTATCCCTATACATGTACAAGTACTTATAATTCGCCATCGTCACTAAACTATGTCTATGGGTTGTTTTTCCCTGCGCTTCTCTGACTTTTCATGTTGTTACTCTCAGAACATAATGGGATCATTAAATTGTGGGAAATTAATACACATTTCATGTTTTCTTCAAAGTTGGCTACAAGCCTGGTCTCGCGATAATAAAAAAAAGTATTATTTCTTTTGTAATAATTGCATTGCTGAAACCAAAGATTGTGAACTTGTAAAGAATAAGCAGTCAAAAATACTCGATAAACTCTTCGAATAAATATCGATAATGTTTACTTCTGTACTTCCATTTTCCACACGAATAAGTAGACGAGACCGACACTGGTCCGCTGTCACATCCTGCGATTATAACTTCTGAGTGGCATATAGATCTAGATCTATATGAAACATGATGACAGAAGTTTTATAAACTGCATATTGTACAGTATAAACAACTGAAGGTGAATACTAGGGCCTCGGGTCGTAAGGGTTAAATTTTAAGTTGTAAACAGTGCGTGCTTGGGCTTGGATCATTCTGACTGACGCTGAATTCATGTTCTGACACTGACAATCTCATCTCATCAATCTGTCAAATTGATTCATAATTGTTAAATTATTCTTTATTTTCATCTTCAAGCAGTCTAGATCTAGATTCTAGATCTAGGTCTACTGGTCTAGGCACTCTTCGGGAGAAGTGGTCCTGGCCTAACTCCATTACTTCTTAGACATTTTACACACACGGCCACCTCTATTCTCACCCCTCGGGTGAGAATAGCGCAGGCGAGTCTTTTGGCTATTCTCACCCGGTGGGTGTTCACCGTTATAGCCTAGGCCAACCACTGAAGCGTTCACCCTGAACCACAGAATTCTACACTCTGATAACAGAACTATAGAATTCTGTGCTGTGAACAAACGTTCTAGATTTAGATATAGGCCACCTCTATTCTCACCCTGGGTGAGAATAGCGCAGGCGAGTCTTTTGGCTATTCTCACCCGGTGGGCGTTCACCGTTATAGCCTAGGCCAACCAGTGAAGCGTTCACCCTGAACCACAGAATTCTACACTGTGATAACAGAATTATAGAATTCTGTGATGTGAACAAACGTTCTAGATCTATTTAGGCCTACTAGATCTAGAATCTAGATATATATCTAGATCTACTGTTAATGTTAGCCTAAAAGCGTGCAATTTTGTCTGTAGGCAGTGGAGAGAGAAAGAGAGAGAGGAGTAGCGCGAGAACTTCCGGGCAAAACAAAATGGCGACCCGCGTAGTTCGGCTCGATTCGGAAAGTTAAATAGCCGTAGCATCTCTGTAGACTACCAAATTAATTTAGTTTTCTTGTTTAAAATCTTTTTTAAAACTTTGTTTTGGTCAATTTGATCGTCCACACCGATAGACAGTATTCAGAAAGAGACAAAGAGAGAGAGAGAGGGGAGGAGTAGATCTTGCGAGAACTTCCGGGCAATACAAAATGGCGACCCGCGTAGTTCGGCTCGATTCGAAAAGTGAAATAGCCGTAGCATCTTTGGAGACGATCAAATTAGCTTACTTTTGTGCTATAACGTAATTTTTTCTTGGCTTTTATCAATTTGATCATCCACACCGACAGACAGTATTCCAAAATGAGGAAAAACAGGTCTTGTTTCACACCGGGTGAGAATAGCCTACGCTGGCAAGTCTCACCCGGGGTGAGAGGTAGATCGTATTTCTATTCTCACCCCGGAATTTATCAAGGGGGGAGTGGGGAAATTCTGTTAAGGCAGGTATCCATCTAGCACAGGTTTCCGTTTTTAAGGCTGGTTTGACTGTACAGACACTAGCACACCCACAAACGTAATGTAAAAATCTAAAAGGGAAACGGCGCAGGAGCGACGGAGAACGTGCTCCTTTGGCGACGCTTTCTCCAGAATCGTTGCTGAGGGCTGGTGAGATGGGTAGCAGTAGCCCTGGTGGAGAGAAAAATGGCCCTGAGACAGGGTGAATGGACTTCAGATCCGGTACCAATTGCTCCAGGACTGCCCCAAGGATCTCCCCTCTCTCCTGTGCTTTTCAATGTGTACACTGCACAAGTAACGATGCATCAGAAAGAATCTGGACGTGTCCTGAGCTTTGCAGATGACATAATGGCATACGAGCACGGAGATGACAGACTTCAGATGGCAAGGAACATGGAGAAAAGACTTCACTCAGTTGTAAAATGGTGCGACCAAAATGAAGCAGTCATCAATCCTTCAAAGGCGCAGGTACTTTGGTGTTCCCTCAACAACAGGATTGTCCAAGACATAACTCCACCAATCACTTGCTACTATGAGATTATCGACAGACAGTCAGAGCTGAAGTATCTGGGAATCGTCTTCGACAGGTCGTTATCCTTCAACAAGCATGTGAATCATGTGGTAACAAAGGCCAAACGAGGTGTTGGTGCAATCAAGATCATGGCAGCAGCTCTGATTCCGCAAACAGTGCTCTTCCTGATGTTGCAGCTGGTCATCCTGTCTGTCATTGATTACGGATTGGGCTGTCTCACGCTGTCCGACACACAGATCGCAAAGCTGGATAGAGTGCAGAATGAGGCAATGAGAGCAGTGCTGGGCTGCACCAAGGACACTCCAATATTGTGCATGCGCTACTTGCTAGGTTTAAGTGGCATCAGAGTACGCCATAGGATAGCTCAGGCAAAGATGTATCTCAATGTAAAGGGCAAGAAGGATCATCCACTTCACAAAGCACTTCATGACAACAGGAGAGTCAGAATCAAGAGAGGAAAATCTTGGATGGCGGAAGCAGAGGATTCCCTGAGAATAATCTGTGTACCTGAGAGTCTACCACCAGGCGAAGAATGGGAGCAGGTGGCCGGAGAATACAGGGACCTCACCAAGGTCAAAATAAGCATGGGCAGAGACAGAAGAAATGTTGCGGCTGCCATCAACGAGAGCAATATCAACGAGATTGTTGACACAAACTCAAAAGCAGGGGATCCTATAATTTATACAGATGGTTCAGTGAAAAGAGATAGCCAGAGAAGTGGATGGGGATTTGTTGCATTCGCCAACAAAAAAATCATACACAGTGCATCTGGAGCCTGCAGCAGGACTACATCAAGTATGCGAATGGAAATTGAAGCCATCACGAAAGCACTTGATTGGATGACCCAAGATCGCCCCCACACAACCCATGCTGTTCTTATCACTGAATCCATGTGTACCCTCAGAAGGATCGAAAAAGGTTTCCTGAGAACGGAATGGATTCAAGCTATCGAACCAACGCCTATACGATCGCTCACATGGATTTTCTGCCCTGGCCATGCCGGTGTTAGGGGAAATGAAAAAGCCGACAGATTGGCTGGTGTGGCCACCTTAGTTGACAATACGGTTCAACTAGATAGGGTCGAGATCCTGAAATGTCTTTCTCGCCAACTGATTGAGGAGGAAGATAGGGAGGCAGAGGCCAGTACTGCCGTGGAGAGGATGATGCTTTTGGGAATAAAAAAAAGGAGGCGGAAAATCTGGCATCCTTGCAGGAAAGAACAGAAGAACGTTCAACCAGATGTGCACTGGCACAATCAGTAGAAGGACCCTCGGCAACATTTTGGAGAGAGCAACGGAGCATCAATGGACATGTCCGGAGTGCAGGGATGTTGCTTCCTGAAACAAGAACAAGAACAAGAAACGTAATGTACACACCATACAGCCCAAATGGAGTGCCACACTACCCATCTTTTAATCACACCCTTCTACCCAGCACTCAGCTTCACGTAATATAACTAGTTTCAACGAAGTTCTTGGGCCTTTTGTACACTACAGGTAATGATCGATGATGCATCTCAATACCAGCTGTGTGTGTATCATGTTGTGCAGGTACAAGCTTCGCCGGCTCATTTAGCATGATATTCTTGATGATGATGGGTGTGTTATTTTCCATACACACAGGCCGATTTGAATTCAAGACAATTGGGAGGAAATATTAATTTGATCAATTTTTTTTTTTAGATCCGCTGTTTGACATGTCCATTGGTGTTTGAGGAAAACAGTTTCCAATGCTAAAAAGTATATATTTGTTTAGTTGGGGAATAGCATACATATTGTACGAGCTATCCATGATTTTGAGTGTGAGTGTTCATGTTATCTGTGCCAGGCAGCATCAATAGAAAAGGAATTGCAGAGATGGCTTAAATATCCATTGACAAGATCGGGTAGAATTTATACCCATAAAGGATGTGAACAACAAAGTATTGGGACTGAGCAAGCTTTCCCATTCAATGCCTCGGCTCTGGGTTGCTTTGTTTTATCAGTTATTGAGTCCAGAAATATATTGTCCAATAGTCTATTTATAATATGATACAATATATTTAATATAATATATCATATCATATCATATCATATCATATCATATAATAATATAATATGAGCTCAAAGCTTCCAAAGGATGTCACTCTCGTTATTCAAAAGTTTCTCAAAGCTGGAATAGTGATGAAACAAAACAGAAATTTTTGTCACTGAGGGATAATTTACTGGATGGTGGATTCATTATGGAGACATGAGATAAGTTTATAGGTTTTTAGCACAGTCATGGGGTTGAATGTTGCCCATAAATCCATTGTCCCATCTATTATTTGATAGAAATTTTTTTAAAAAAATCTTTTTTTATACTTTCCCTTTGACAGGAGCAAAAAGAAAGCTATTAGCAGTCATGTTACAAGTTGTGTGGAATGTCTTCAAGTCGGTGTACAGTCTTCTTTGTTCTGTATTCCGACCTTTTCGCCGATTGGTATGTCGGCGTCGGAGGTCATCTGAATCTGATGGATCGGAACTGACGTCCATTGGGACTGGTGACTTGAGGATTGACACACCGTCCTCTTATGGACAAGTGAATGCAGAAGAGGAGGAGGTAAGTAAACTGAAAGTATAGATTATAATGTATTCATTCATTATCATCGTTGTCATTATCTTCAACATCATCATCAGCCTTTCTCACCCCATACCAGAGTACAGGCCACCTACAAGAGCTCTTCATGCACTTTTGTCCTGGTCTATGATCTCCTACTCGCGACCTCAGTGCTTTCCTGTGGTATTTCCATTTTTTAAACTGTGAAAATGTGACTTTTCCTTAAGCTCACTCTTTGTTATGAACTGTTTTCACTGTTATGAAAAATGGAGATATGGCATGAAAGCACTGAAGTCCCAAACTCTGTCCCGCTGTATCACATCTCGTTTAGGTTGAAATGTAAGTCCCTTCTTCACATACTTTCAGGCCTCGTTTGTTTTTTTAAAGAATAAATTGTGAGCCAGTGTGGTGGAATCAGGCTCTCGTCAAAATTATCAAAGTGCAGAAACTTGCATTTTTCACAGGTTTGTGAATTTTTATCAAATTTTTGTTTTTTGGCTCAACACCTTTCATGCCCATTAAAGAACTAGTTTCTGTGTGGATTTTTCTGAAAAACGTTGATTAAAAGTACAAAAAATGTAAATTTTCTGTTACCACCAACTTGTAAGCTAAGGAAATAACTAATCTTTGGCGGCCATTTTCTCACTAATTGTACCTGTGAAAACAGGCAACTCCACCTCCTTCATTCGCAACTATCTCCACTTGTATTCAAGATAAATGGATATTTTTTTCATCCAAATAAAGACAAGTGAACAAGCTACAAGATGATACCAATAATTCTACATGCCCAAATATTGACGAGAGCCTGATTCCACCACGATGCCTCACAATTTATCCCCATTAAAGAAGGCTCAGTATAATCCTTAGTCAATGAAATTGGGTTGTGCTAATTTCTGACATTTTGCTCATCAGTCACCCATCCTCTGTCTACTCTCTGCTGCCTTCCCACAAGTGCATGTGATTTTTTTTCCACACAAAAACTTATTTTTAAAAAGTATGTAATCTTCCTTGCCATACTATCTATTTATATTTTGTGTTTGGTGTCATCTTGTTTTTACGTTCAAGTGGAATACCTATGTTTTCGTAGTGCTATATCTAATGATTTTGAATGCTAACACTTTTTCAGAAGTGTATTCCTACTTGAAAAATCATTAGCTCTTTTTGAAATCTCTCAACTCTTAAATATTTTTTTTTGTTGGACTATGACAGAGGCAACTTAGACTCTTCGACATGGTGTACTTTTTATGTTTAGTTGAGTTATCAAACATCTATCATCCTTATCTCTCCCCCTTTGTTTTTGTGTTTGTTACTCTCTTGTTACTGTACACTTCTAGTCTTCGGCACTTATATGTCCATGTTGTGTTTCAAGTGTGGTAAAACTCTTACTAAAGAAAACTAAGCAGTGCCTCTGGATTAAAATTCACTTAAATTGATGCTTTTTTCCTTTCTACCTTTCATTTTTCTTTGTTCATTTCTCTTTTTTTTTCCCTACAAACACATTAATAGTAATAGTAAAGCAGATAATTTCTGAAGTGCCCACTCCATACAATGCCGCTATAGGTGACCTTCAAAGTAACATAAAATACAAGTGAATGAACATGCATTATATGAATGCTCTTAAATAGATTACCACGAACACATAAGCAGCTATTCATACTATCAGAGAACAATCAACGACGAATATGCATATCACATTATAATCATAAGAGTACAATGAAAAAGATGGACTAATTATCAAAATGGCTTTTCATAATTAATGGTTGGATGGTGGGTGTTCTCGTGCGGTTTGCTTTCTCTTTCCTGTCAAACATCTATCGTCCTTATCTGGCCTTCTTCTTTTTAAAAAAAAAATTTTTTTCTTGTAACACCTATAATCATGTTGCAAGTTCCATAAAATGGTTACTAAAACAAATTTCATAACTGGAGTATATCTTTTCTTTCCTTCACGGTCAGCTTGAGATGGAGGCGTGGGACTCATGGAATGAACCTCCTGTAGGTGGCGGCCCTGAGCCACCACAGGCAGGATTTTACCCTGGTCCTGGCCCTGCTCAAAGTCAGGGTGCCAATGGAGCGGTGGCACGGCCAGGTGTGCCCAGCTCCAGCATTCAGAACTACTACTACAACCAGAAAATGTCACAACCAGAGCCCGAACCAGAGCCCAATTTCTTTCAAGACATGACGCCTGATGTGAAAAAGCAGCCTAAAGTAATAAGTCAACTGTTGCATCTAGTGCTTGACTTTATTGTCCTTCTCGATATTTTTTTGTCACTGGCACCTCTGTCATTTTGTCCATTTCTTGCTAGCTGCACTGTTAAATGTCAAGTTTGTTTTCCATGTTTCTTTCTCCTTTTTATCTGTCCCCGTAGAATTATTCAAATTTAGATGGCGGAATTATGAAAAAAAAAAAAAAGCAAAATTATGAAAAAATTATGCAAGTTACCATATCACCATTCACGACATGTTTTGCTCTTTTCAACAAGAATTTTCATGATGTACAGAAAAATTGAAAACAGAACATATCAGTATCAGTAATTTGTTGTGTATTTGGAAAGAAAAAAAAAACAACCAAAAAAATATGATCTCTGTAACTTTCAGCTGCAGATTTCTCTATAGTGGAAAGAAAAATGTAAAAAAAAAAAGGACTTCTGGACCTCTGATGCTGGCACATTACTAAAACCAGGGACACCTGTCAAACACGAAACATAAGCAGACATGAGAACAACAACTTTTGATGGATTGAAAAATTGAACATGCCCAGGAACAAAATCCCAACCCATAACCAAGATCTTCTAACAAGGGAAATATCAACTTGTCACTTAAATGAGACTTATTACGGTGATTACTTCCCTTAAGTCAAATGGCGAGGTGTTAATTAATTGTTTTGTGAAAAACTGGAAAAAAAACGTGAAAAAACGCGGGGAATCCAAAATTATGCAAGTGTTGCAGAATTGCGCTTTAAAAAAAACGCGGCCGCGCCGCAACGCACAATCGCATAATCCAACGGGGCCGGTTTTATTATAGTCTTCCTCAACTTCCTGTATAGCTTATTGATAGCAGTGTGCTACACAACATCCCATCCTCCCCTCGCTTCTGGTGCCTGTCAGTGGGGGCATAGAACATTTCTAAGCGTTACGAGTCAGCCCAAACTGTTTTCTTTGTTGCTTTTATATGATATTGCTCAGAGCCTGTGTACTTTATTCGGGGTTGAGCGCTATGTAAATGTCATTTATTATTTATTATATTGGAAGTGTGACTTGATTGAAAAGCAATACACTACAACATGTTTTTTGAGAAGATTTATGATGATGGCACTTCATGAAAAATGATCCTATTTCTTTTCTTTTTGTTTATTATTGCTGTCCATTTGACTAGTTTTTCCAAAACATGAAAAGAGAATTATCATATTTTAAACATCCTTTCGTATGGCTCATGGAAGTATAAAGTGCAGGACAATGTTGACATAATACTTAGTAAATGAAAGAGGAAGTGGCAGAACCAGAATGGTACTGAATGAACACCGGAATGATCAGCAGATGGACTCTTGAGGTGGATATTGGGCGGGGAGCACGTATGGCCATGCCTGGAGCGCTATGATGTTGTTCCCATGATCAAGTAATCAAGTAGATGAAAGAGTCTGGAGTATGTCCTTTTAAAGCCTTTAGAGATGCTGGTTACACTGTCTTCACAGCTCATTAACATTCATTTACTTCAAATCAGATTCAGGCACTGTTAATTTTTTAATTTTTTTTCTCTCTGCAGATTTTGATACGCAAGAAGGAATCCCCTCCTCCGAGCACAACAGGGTCACTGATGAACAGAATGACTGTCATGTCTGATGTGCCTGCCCTTGTAAGTGACGGTTTGTTCTCGCAGTTTGGGGTGTTGGCCTAAATTTGTTGCTATTAAAGTTATAATGATGGTTTGTAGTGTTTTTATATATCTCTTTTGCTTGAAAGCTTATTGTAGTTCCAATGTAGGTATTTTGCGGGTGCTCTAGTGTGGCTTAATATTCTTTCCTTCTTTCTGATCAAATAACTACCATCCTTTTTGTGTTTATTACTCTCTTGTAACATCTCTGACCTTCTGCTCATATATGTTGGGGGAGCGTGGTGAAATCAGGCACTTGTCAAAATAATGAAATTAGAGAAATCGGCATTTTCCCGCTGGTTTTGGGTTTAATGTCCTTTGTTGTTGCACTGGGAACTAATCCTATGACGGTTAGGTAACAAATGTTATGCAAGAACCCCTAGACTTGCTGTAATCGTGAATGAAAATTATTTCTACACGCTGTTGTGAATTCTCATGTGTGACTACTAGAAATTAAGAAAAGATACTTTTTGATATGATACTGGTTGACTATTGTTTGTGTGTGTCTTATCTTACCTTATCTTGTCTTATCTTATCTTATCTGATCTTGTCTTATCTTATCTCACCTTACCTTATCTTATCCAATATTGTCCTATCTTGTCTTATCTTATCCTCTCTTATTTTTTACAAACTCATTCCCCCCATGGCAGTGCTACTGACTGAAGTGTCTTTTGGCTATTCCCAAAGGGGATATTAAGATGTTCTTATGCACAGTAGAATTGTAAATGGGCTGATTCATCAATGTCATGCTCATACTGTGCAGGAACAACATAGGCGGAACTGCTGATTTTTCTTTCCTCATCCTTATTACTGTAATTTTTCCTCTATTTCTTTTTTTATGTTTGTCACTCTCTTGAACTGCTATTTCCGGAGTGCCTTGACAGTCAAAGCAGACTTTGTGCTGTTGAGGCCAGAGAGGTGAGCAGAGTAAGCTTGATTCCCTTTTTGGACTTCGCTGTTGACATCTACCCCTTTGCCGTCGCTCATATGACCTTATGGAGTTGCGAGCGCCGTAAAACCATAGTAAAACAAACAAACAAACTCAAGGATTAAATGCTATGATGTGGCTATGACATTTTTTTATCTCCTGTTGTTCCACCAGACCTCAGAGCTGGGCGAGTGGGAGGACGGGACCAACGCGTGGGACACTGGGGAGGCCCTGGAGGATCTCACCTGGCAGGCAGAGGAGGCCATCAAAGAGAAGAAGAAGAAGGAGAGGATGGAGAGACAGCTGGAGCAGCAGAGGAGGAAGCAGAAGAAAGAGGAGATGAGAGGGATGAAGAACAGCGGGGTATTCAAACTTTCTTGACGAGTATGGACGAAATTGTTGATGGGTGGGCCTTCAGCTTTTGGATTGTACATGGGTTGGGTTTTTTTCACTCTTATTGTCAGTTACATTTATTTTCATTATTATTGTTTCAGTTTCAAATGGGTGCACAAGGATACATGGCTTTCTTTATGTTTATCTAGGAGATGCTGTGAATCTGCGAGCTCTAGTTTCTTTAGACTTTGTGTGTGTGATGATGTCTGTCGGCTGACTGGGCTATTGGTTCATACCATCGTGGGCTCGCATGCTTTTTTTTTCAAGGAGATTATAACATTGACTCATTGATTATATATTTATGCGGGTATTTGGAGGGTTCTGCCACTGGTAAGCTATTCTTCTGTATTCTCAGTCTATTGTTTCTGTCTTTCAATCTTGTTTTTTTCCTAGTGCTAAAGAAGCATTATTGTGTCAAGTTATTCTTCTTCACTTTCGGTCTGTTGTTTCTGTCAATCCATCTTGCTCATTTCTGGTGTAAAATGGCCATTATCGTGTCCAGTTATTCATCTCTGTTGCTTTTGTCAGTCGGTCTTGCTCTTTCCTTGTGTTAACCCTTAAACCCTATACCGCTGGTCAACTTTATCTGTCGAGAGCAGAAAATATCGATAACGTCATAAGTGCAGTTCTACTCCAAGAATTTGGAATTTTTACAATGAGTGACTTTTCGCTGCCAGGCCCATCAGACCGCAATATTTTTGGCTTTTTTGATTCTGAACCAGACCCATATGATGATTCCTAGTCAGATATATCAGTAGATATGACTGTTGAAAACAATAGCATTGTTTCGCATAACATCGATGATAATATTGACGATAATGGAAGTGGCAGGGGATCAACGCTAGAGCTGCCAGAGACTAGATCTACGGCTGGGTCTAATGATGCTTTGACTGCAGTGGAGTTAAGGATCACACTCAAGACTTTACTCATAGAGTTGGTCCTGAAAACCAATGTTTTAACTCCCCCCCCTCCTCCCCTTTTGTCCAGACTGTGCATTCATATATACATAACATATTCAAATTTCAGCAAATTAGTAAAATCTGACAACTATTTAGCAATGCCCACCGAGCGCATTTTGTTCTGCCGATTTTTGACCCCCGCCGCGGGGGTGTTTCGTGGGACGAGCTAACGCAAAGGTTGTTGTCTTCAACTCGCTCTCACGTTGCTTCTCGTGAATGGATATGAATGAAACTTGGCAGCCAATCAGAAAAGAGGCCAATCTCGCAGTGTTTAGTTTGACAACTTTGTACTCATTCAGTAACCCGTCGAAAACGTTTGCGAAAGTGTTCAATGTGGTGCGGTTTGAAGATTTTCTGGAGCTGTGATTTGTCAAACTGACTGGTAAGTTGTACACCATTTTTCTTTATTCCCTTAAAATGTGGGGGTAACTACAGGTAAAACGGCATTGCCATTTGCGCATGCTGGGTGAACGACTGGCGGCTCGGAAAATTCCACCGGTGACGTCATCAGCCATGGGCCGCAAAACGAGGCCCGGTTATATGAACTCGAAGCGGGGGGGGGGGGGGGGGAAAGGACATTTGAACACCAAACGGGGGGTTGATAACTTGCATTTGTGTCGCATTTTAGTCACAATACAATAGATGTAGTCATTTTTATTTGTTTAATTGCATGAGAGAAGAATAGAAACAGAAAAGGAAACATCTTGAGAAGTGATATGACCATTGTGTTTGCGTTATGAAACCCTATCTCCCCCCTCTTGTGAAAGCACATACTTGGACTCGTCCACTTTGCTGTGTTTCGAAAAGTGAGGTAGTAGGAGGTCAGAAAGATTGTTATTATAGAGTGTGATACATAATTATTAAAAATTCAGTCCAGTCTGGGAAGATGATCACGTTCTTACATTGCTATCGTTCACGCGTGCGTACATGCTCGCGTGCATGTGTGTGTGTGTGACAGAAAGAGAGAGAGAGAGAGGGGTGGGGGTGGGGGGGAGAGATATAAAAATCTGTTTAGTACGAGTTTTTTTTTTTTGTAGCCTACACATGCGAACTATTCCCATGACTTATATATTATCTAAGCGCATCTTAAATCTACCCTACAATAGGACACTGTCCCACAATGGATATACACAGAGACGATCTTATTGAAAAATACGGGGCCCCTGCCACTACACTACTAACAAATGGCATCGTTTTAGACATGATTAGAGAAACGTCAACAATGAAATCGATCACCGCAGCCAACTGGCTTCTGAAATGGCTTCAAAATGAGTCAGTTCCTGCCAAAGCGCTGCGGTAAAAAATGTACAACATCGGCAAGAAGGCGTCGAAATTGAGGGGTGCTCCATTGCAGAGGTTTAGGGTAGTGGTGGGCGGTACCGGCGAAATCCAGTGTCAGTACTTTCTCGGCCGAGAACCGCCAGTACCGGCTCCGGTACTGGTACTGAGAGTGACACCAGTAGGTGACGTCACAGACTTCGCGTCTTGCGTCTAACGCCACGATCAGCGCCGCCCGCCCCCCCCCCCCCCCAAACCCCCCCACACACACACACATCAGTCAGAATTGGAGAGGCGAACTGTGACACAAAATACCTTTGAAGTTTGCCGCCGCATGGGATTAAATTTTGCAAGCAGAATTTTAAAAATAGTTATCGCCGCTAAAAATTGATTTCATTTTCGGAATCAGCGTATCAAATAAGCAAAGTGGCTCGCGTGGAACCTGATTTGAAGCCATATTTTAAATTTAAGCAAACACTTCGTTTTTGATTGTCAATTTTGAATCTGAAGTCCTGTATCAAGGTCACCCACTGCGTTGTGCATCTGACGCCCCAGCTGCTAGACCTAAGCCTACACACTGCACACTTCCCGTGGCCCGGTAAGGAAAAAAAACCTCGTCTTCGTCGGCTCCTTCTCAGAGCCGGTATTAACCGTTGCTGTTGGCTCCATCCGAGAGCCGGTACTGGAGGCCTTGTGCCGGTACTGACACCTCCTTCGGTAGAGCCGGGAGTTCCGATACTGGGTACCTTAACCTGCCCATCCCTAGTTTAGGGAGGATGTATTCATACTCCCTCCCCCAACTCTGCTGTCTGTATCGGTCCCCTCTACTTCATCTGAACCGGCCCCATCATCAGACCCATTTCTGCTCTCACCGACCCATCTACTTTATCTGAACCGGCCCCATCATCAGACCCACTTCTGCTCTCACCGACCCCTTCAACTTCATCTGAACCGGCCCCATCAACACATAGGCCTCACTCATTTTCTGAACCGGCCCCATCAACACATAGGCCTCACTCATTTTCTGAACCGGCCCCATCAACACATAGGCCTCACTCATTTTCACAAGATCCAATCATGCGAAAGAGAATAATCACACCGAAGAAAAGGGCGAACAAATTAACATATGAAATCGCGAAAAAGGAGAAACAACTGTCTTTGATGGAAAAGAAATATGACGAATTGAAACAGGAAATGATAAAACAGGCAAAAATGAAAAGTCAGTACAGTGTGAAGAACATGAAGAGAAGGGAAGAAAGAAATGTTAAGCTCAGGATGGGACTCAGGCAGGAGAAAAGCAGGTTGACTTCGCTAATAAATAAGAAGGAAACAGAAAATGAGTTTTTGAAAAAGCAGCTGAAGGAAAGAATACAGGAAAATGCCAAACTCAAGACGAAGATGTTCAAGCAGAGGAAAAAAGTGAGAAGGTTGCTGAAGGAGAAGAAGGCAGCAATTGCAAGAGCGAGATACCATGGAAGGAGACATGACACAAAGAAAGCTGAAGAGCTGGTTGAGGAGGAAAAAGAAGCAGAAGTTGAGATTGAGACTACAAACACAAAGGGAGAGTTTACAGATGAGACAAGATTTTGTGTGATGGATTTGACAGGACTGGAAGTGGCTACAGGAAAGATTGGACAGGTGATGGAAGCTGTTGGATCATTTTGTAGAGTGAAGTTTAGTCAGCTGCCGAGTAGGACAGCATGTCAGAGGATTGTTGACGAGGGACAGGTGTTGGCGAAGACTTTCATCAGGAAGAAGGCACTGAAAAGAAGCAAAGGATTTGGTATGCATAAAGATGGAACAACAAGGAAGAAAGTAAAGATTCTGGATACGTCGATCAGTACGGAAGAAGGAGAAGCATACTGTTTGGGTTGGACATCAGTTGTGTCAGAGACTGGACAGGCAATAGCAGAGGAGAGAACAGAAAAGTTAGGAGAAGTCATGGGAAAGTCAAAGGAAAGTGAAAAGATTGAGATTTTAAAAAAGATGAAGTATTACATGAATGACAGGGCAGCGAATGAAAAGAAGAGCAACAGGCTGTTGGACGAATAGAGAGATGAGATGCCGGAAAGACATGGAGAGCAAGCGACAGATGTGCAGCATCTACACTGTGCGGCGCATGTCTTGCTAGGATTTCACAGTTATGTGCTCACAGCCATCAAGAAGTTGGAATTCATTCCAAAGGGAGAGGTAAAACAACCGGTGGCTGTGATGCTGAGAGATGCATCAGGTTTGTTGGGCCCTGTGGGGGATTACAGAGGACTTAGGAATGAGTGGGGAGCGTACTGTCTGGAGAGAGAAAGGAATGAAAAGCTGTATAAAATCCTACAAAGACAACCGGTTCAATGGTCTCTTTGAGGTTGCTGCCCAGGTATTCCACCATCATGAGGGGTGGATGAGGACTTCATCAAACTTTTGGAATCCCATAAAAACATAAATGCAAAACAAACCCGTCTGTACGACGCCCTTTTGGATCCAAGTTTGATTCTTTTATCTTTGTGTTTAGGATTTTTTTTCTCATTCAGTCACTGGCCCCTTTTGGACAATGGTAATCTCTCCAAAGTCAACCTACCTGGAATTCAAAGACCTTATTCAGAAGCTGAAGGAGGACTTACAACATTGTGTCACCAACCCCGTACGTAGGGTGTCCAGGAAGAGTGTTGTTGAGACAAGTTTGGAGTTTATGGCTCGGGCTGGAGGACGGTATTGGGTCGTGGCTAACGGGAAGGAGGTCCAGAGAAAGTTTTAAAAATTTCAATAAAGGAAGAACAATGACAACGGTCAGTCTATTCTGCATTCTTTCTTCAATTACAAAGTGTGCATGCTTTTACTAATCCAGTTCTCTACTTACATTTTTGTGAGAAATTGATCCTGAGCATTGCTTAGCAAGGAGGAATCTTTTATGTTGCCAAATTCCTTTCAAATATTATGACTTTGGGAGAAGATATGACTAATGTTCTTTATAAATCTTTAAAGAATACCACCTTTTTAACCTGTTAATGTCTTTACAACGTAAAAAGTATGATAGATATTAGAAATCTGACAGTATGACTAGATTCTGCATTAAAAGCTGCACTAGACTGCCAAGTTTCATTTACATAACCCGAGAAATAAGCGAGCTATGATGAATTTTCGTCTCAAAACACACTGAAAACCGCCACATTTTTACGAATAAATGTCTTCATAACTTTAAAAGTATGATAGCTATGAAAAAACTGAAAGCAGGACTAGATTCTGCACTAGAAAATGTACTTAGTTGCCAAGTTTCATTTACATACTCCGAGAAATGAGCGAGTTATGGCGAATATTGTCTCAAAACTCATCGAAAACCGTCCCATATTTTGGTTTTTTTTCCTTATATAAAAGTGTACCAAAAATTAATTGATTAAAAAATTCGTAACTTTTTTGTTTATTGATGGATTTCAAAAATTCAAAAAGCCCCTTGCTATGTGGAGATAAAGCTACAAAATGCACCTATTTGCAAACAATTTCTGAGAAAAAAAGATTTTTTATGGTCATTTCTAAACTGTTCCTGGCAGCCTGCATACAACTAGGAAAGATATATTATGCAATTTTTTAAAACACAAAGCTGTATAAATATGTGGTTAGAGATAAACTTCTTGTTTGGAATAAAAATGATGACAGCTAACACGTTCATTCTTAGTTTAAATGTGTTGGAAATATGCACGGTCACCTGTGAATCTTTAGAAATCAGAACTTTGTCAGTTACTAACGAAGTAACCAGACAAGCTGCTATGTCCAGGGTTTTTTTAGTCTCAAGAGCAGAAATGCGTACTTTGTGTGCATTAAATGATAATTATCATAAATAGAAGGATACACCTAAAACTGTACGGTAAAACGTACCAAAAATTAAGTCAGCCCAGACAGAGCGGGACAGGGAGCTGACCTCTGTGACCCCGACGTGATAAGGCGCTCGGCGGGGAACCTCCCGCTGCAAGTAAAATTCCACTGCGGGTGCAGTGTGTGGGATGGACTGAGGCTTTTTACTGTTTATATTTTTAAGCTGCTTTTTCTTCACCTTTATTTCTTCCCTTGATTGGGCAAATCCGTCTCCTAACATAATTAAAGTTTTATTTTTAAAAAAATGTATTTCAATGTCCATCAATGCTTGAGACCATTCCTCAAATGTACCCATTTCAAATTCTTCACCTCTTTTCCTTTCAAGCTCAGATATACTACATGTACTTTTGTTATGAGTGACATTGACAGAATTTTTGCCATTGGCTGACATGGCGTCGTCAGGCTAAACTTTTGGCGTCCCAGTTCTGTGTATATCGATTTAATTAAACACGGATGTGTAAATGCCTTGTCTTAAAAAAAGGAGAGTATTTTTTTCATCTTAAGGTGACTAATAGAATAATTTATATGAAACTGTACAAGTATTTAGTATAATTAATACACACTTGCATCTGTAATGTAATGGGTAGGGTCTATGCTGTTGCTTGAAGAAGATGTGAGTTCGATTCTGAAGTTGGGGAACGAATTTCTAGAGCCGAGATCGAAGAAGAAGAAGAAAAAGAATTTCTTGAGTAGCTCTGTCGGTCTACTGTCAGGGGGGTGGGGAATGGCAATGACATGCAAAGTCACAGGAGACTGCATTGTAAATAATCCAGCTTGGGTCGATAAGAGCTTAAAATGTTTACAATCATTTGAATCAGTCGGCATGTTTGTGTATGCCGTGTCTTTATAATTATAACTTCCTCGTGTATGAGTGGTTTGCACCTTCTTTAATATCAAACATCTGTCATCCTTATTTCTCCCCGGACTTTTCGTTGTATGTTCATTTCTGGTATGATTTTAGATCTCCGGCTCTTATATAATCTCCGGCTCTTATATGACATAATTGTGCTGCAAGTGCCGTAAATCTCTTACTAAGACTAAAAGATAACTTTCTCGCCTTTTTTTCCCCCTTCTGTGTCACTGATTGGGATGGAGGTTCCCTGTTTGATTCTGACAAGAGACACTCATGTGTGTGGAAGTGAACTGGTTATCTTTCTGATGATTTAAAAAAAAAAAAAGTTTTGTATATATATTGGATTTGATACACTTTTAATACTATTTCCACATGAAAGGTGATGGTAATCTCATCCTCATTATTGAATGTGGGTTTATCATGGTTATAAAGGGTTTCATAGTTTGTCATATATTCATTTCTTCATTGCGGCTGTTCATAAATTGTATCATAATTCTTGGCCAGGGTTGAGTGTGTGTAGATGTGGATGCTCTTTTCCACCTGGGGGTCCCGTGCAGATGAGTGGACTGCGAGCTACATTAACTTGTTAGTCCTACTTTAGAATTACAAAGTTCTATCTGACATTTCTGGCCGTTTCGAGTTACTAGGACCATGAGGTCGGAAACCAAATGTTCTATCTGCTCTGTCGAAATCGTAAGATTATTCGGAGTCGTTGTCAATATATTCAAAGAATTGCATTTGAAAAAAGCTTGACATGATGTGGAACTCAACATCTTTGATGTCAAATTTCTCAAAACTAGGTCCTGAGCAGATAGAACCTTGTAATTCTGAGGTAGCGAAGTGTCAGGCAGTCTTGATTCACAATAATGATTAATTAATCATAGTCCCTGGGTGTTGCACAGATGATGTGTCAAGCTTAGCTTTAACCCCTTCCCTGCCAGGTTCAAGACTACCCGGTTATAGACAGCGGAAGATCTTGTCAGTATGTTAGTTTTTTAGTGCCTATAAATGGCTGCTTGCACTGTATGCTTCCCGGGAAGCTGAGAATGTTTCTGAGTGTTCTATGGTCTGCTGGGGTAATAATATAGTGTAAAGCGCATAGAGCCTGCTGTTGAGCTGGGATATGCGCTATACAAATGCTATTTATTATTTAAAAACAAGAAAGTAAGACAAGCCTGGCACTGAATGAGTTAATATGAAAAAGGTGCACCATGCTGTGAAAAATTGCAAAGTCTCTTGTTTAGTCATATGAACGATGGTATTACAATTCAATAATGCTAATAATGTTAGCTGTACTACTAATGTTGATAATGCTAATAATGTAAGTTATAATGATGATGTAGAGCTTATGATATCATGTGATATGGATTTGATCACATGTCTTGGGTTTTGTGTTTCATGATGTATTTAGAGGTTCATGTATGTGTACACTTGTATGCTTATGGGTGTGTTTTTGTGTGTATGCTCACTCAAGATTGCATTTGACTAATTTGAGTGGTATTTTTAGATTGCAAGAGGTTATTTTATGTATGTGACCTGTTGGGTCAAAATGTCTTAGAGGCAGTGCACACTGCACTTCAAGTTTCATAAAATGTCCATTTGATACATTTGATGGCAGCCAGGTCTTTCCTTCTTGGAGGGGCAATATCTACTACTTTGGCACAGCTGGGTCAAATCTAATCTTCCAAAATCAAACATATTTGATTTTCTTGGACACTATTTGATACTTTTGATATATTTAATGAAAACCACCAATCAAAAGGCACAGTGCTTTGTGAGGTCAGATCTTTTGTTTGCATGCAGAATCCCACGGGCCCAAATGGACTTTTGGGTCAAACTTGATAAAGCGAAGAAGAGGTTACTTTCATATGCACAGGGTGATAAAAAAACGACTACAACTTTTTTTCTAAATATCTCTCTCAAAAATTTTTCTTGAATGCTGCAATTTGGAACAGACATAATTCATTCAAAAGGAATTTGACATAAAATCCACGAAGAAGAAATTTGTTTCGAAAACGGAAATGACTTAAAGAAAAAAGCACCCAAAAACGCAAAGTTCACCAATTTTAAAAATCTTGTAAAGTAAGTCGTGAAAAGATTGATTGACTTTTTTTTCTTTTTTTTCACTTTGACATTTAATTTTCCATCCCTGTGACATTTAAACAATATTTAATTTCTTTTTACAGAGTTTAAGAAAACTAACGATTTCATTCTGAAATTCCTACAAGCAGTGCTCTACATGCCCTCCTTTATACTCGACACATTTTTAATGCGTCATTCGAAATGTTCAATGGCGCCCAAACACATGGACCTGCTATACCATCAGTTTAAAGAGCTATATACACAGTACATATTCAGTATGAAGTGGCTTCTTGAGACAATAGGGAGTGGGGTGCCCAATAGACAGCATTTTTGAGTTAACGTCAGGGTGAAAATGGGCTTTGCACTAAACCAAATTCATAGAGGAAATGATCCCGCTTTTCAAGACCTCAGGGTGAAAATGGGCTTTGCACTAAACCAAATTCATAGAGGAAATGATCCCGCTTTTCAAGACAATAGAGGAATCATGAACACATTGCCATGCTCTGAGACATGTCATCTCGGCCTAACGAAGATGAAAATGGTACAGTCGTAGGTTAAGATCTTACAATAGAATGCAGACTGTTGAGGTGTAGGAAAGTCCTAGCTGCAGATCGTCAACAGACAGACATCTCTTGGGACTTGACTACTGAAATTGGCACCCTGATGACGTTTGAAGGGCTGTGCATGGTGCGTGTTTGACCTGAAGTGGTCATTTTTTAAGGAAATTTTAAGTTCTGATTCGCTTTAGATCCAAAGTGATGACGCCAAAGGTCTTGAGGGCACCTAAGCATTCTTTCCATGCCGTGCGCAGAACTTACGAAATGTCTGGGATGGTGAGCTTGTGGACAGTTAATGTTCAATACAAAAAGCTCTCTCTGCTCTTTACTAGACTTAACCATCATCTCAGCAGGCAAATGAAATTTTGGAAAATAATATCTGCAGACTTCTATTGACTTATTAGACTGCTGTAGCTTGCAGTATTGCGCGATTGTTGCAACTTTTAGTGGTAGACCTAATGCAAACTGGGGCGTCATGCTATGAAAATGACGATGAAAAATAAAGTTGAAAATGGGTGGGTTTTTTTTTAATGCACCATTAGAGCAAAACCATTCAATGGACTTCTCTAAAATGAATGTCAGACAAATTCCTTTTGGCTTCCAAATGTTATTGTTATGTTCAAATCTGAAACGCAAAACTTCAGTATGGAGGAAGATATTTACAAACAAGTTGTAGCTTTTTTTCTGGATCACCCTGTCTGTATATTGTTTACACAGGGGCTGCCATTAGTCGGCCTGATTTGTTCTGATATTATTAGGCAGACAGACTTTATTTGACCCGTGAAATTTTGCTCTTACATTTTACTTTTTTTTTTCATCCACAACTGAACACACTTTTGATACAGAGTCAGGTATGATTGTGATCTGTGTCATCCTTTCCTTTCAAGTACAAGAGATGTCCTCTTCTAATGCCTAGACAGTTTGGAAGGGGGGAGAATTAATCTTTATTTGCCACAAAGGAA